CACACACACACACACACACACACACACACACACACACACACACACACACACACAAGCACACACACACACACACAAGCACACACACACACACACAAACACACCGGTGCATCTGGTCGAGGCTGTGGATGAAGGCCATGCCACTGGCAACATCCCGCAGCAGTCGCAGCTTCAAGTCCCACACACCATTCACATCATCCCTGACACTGCCGTTGCTGCTCTCCTCGACCTTCCTGCTCCTCACTTCCATCAACACCTTCCCCATATCCTTCTGTAATAGGCCATTGAGCGACCCCATGGCCACAAACTCCAGCACCAGGAACGGGCTGCCGTTGGGGTCTGTCCCCGCACCAAAGAACCGCACCACATTCGGGTGCCGTGTCCGCTGCAGGAACTCCACCTCCTTCTCAAACTCAAGCACCGTGCTCTCGTCAAATGCCATGACGGCTTGCTGCAACACCTTCACTGCCACTGTGACTGTGTCCCACTCTGCCTGGAACACCACGCCAAACGCACCCGCGGCCACACGCTCAACAAGCCTCAGCTCATCGTACTCAATCTCCCACGCCCTCTTCAGCGCCATCACCTCCTCGTCCCTCTCCACCAGCAGCTGCTCCTGCAGGTCGATACGCTTGGTCAGGCCACGGTAGCGGCGTGACAGCCACGCCATGAGCAAGCCGAGGGCAAGGCCGCCAATCACAGAGCCAGCGGCAACGCCAGCGATATTGGGCTCGTCCACCACGCACCGCCCAGTGGCGCCCTTCTTGAAGCCGCGCGCGCACGTGCAGTGGAAGGTGTAGACAATCTGCGGTGTCAACGCAAAAGAGTCGCGTACCGACCGCAGGTCTCGCGTTGACAGCTGCAGGTCGCAGTCAATGGACGCGCCGGACAGTTGGAGGATCGGAGGAACGGGCCGGTTTGGAAGGGGCACGCCGTCAGCAGTCAGGAAGGGTTGGTCCGACAAGGCAATCGTTCTCCCAGCAACGCGGTTCACCTCTGCTTGGTGGCTCAGCCATGGGTTGCCTGAGAAGTCTAGCACTTCCACCTGTTGCAAGCACCTCTGTGCAGTTGCGGCAACACGCTCCACATCAATAATTGCGTCCCTGTTCCGGGCAAAGAGCATGCGGCGGCCCCACCGCGTGCACAGTGCGCTGTTTGGCGGGTAGTTGGTACCGCTGATGTCGAGAATGTCAATGGGAGGGGCATCAATCGAGGTCAACTGGGTGCAGCCGGACACGTTGAGCTCACGCAGCGAGTTGTGGACAGTGATGGATCGGAGCTGTTTGTTGTCAGTGAGAAGAAGCGTTTCGAACGTCTTTTCGGGGCACAGGTCAATCGTGCTGTAGTCCGTGTTGGCGATGCGGAGCTCCCGCACGTTGCTTGCAAGCACCTTGCAAATGGCGCTAAGGGGGAGCGTGTCGCTAGTGGCACCGGGCCACCCCACGTGCAGGGCAGCCAGGTCCAGCAACGGCAGATTCTCAAAGGAGGGCACAACGTTGCTGATGACCACGTTGTTGAGCCGAAGCGTGGACAGGGGCGCAATGCTGGCCACGCTGGTGCTCGTGAAAATCGCTTCGGACTTGGACTTTGGAAATGCGTCCAGCTCGAGAACTTGCAGCAGTGGCAGCGTCAGGAGTGGCGCCAAGTCGATGCGCCTGATGTGATGGTTCTGCAGGCGAAGAATTCTCAGGGCGGGCGTCTGTGTAAGGTCTGGAAGCTCCTGCATGGGGTTGTTGCTCAAGTCAAGACCACGCAATGTCGGTAACTCGCGTGACAAGTGCAGCTCGGTGAGCTGGTTTCCAGCCATGTCCAAGAACCGCAGGGACGTGAGCGCTGCCGCTGCAAGAACGTTATCGATTGTGGCCAGCGCGTTGTCCACAAACGAAACCTGACGCAGCCCGGGATTGTTGGCAAAGAGGTTTGTGGGGAGCTTGGTCAGGTAGTTGTAGTTACACTGGAAGAAAAGCAGACGCGTGCACGAGTCCAGAACACCCTCGGGCAGAGCAGAGATGTCGTTGTTGAGCAATTCGAGGAACGTGACCGCTGTCAAGTCCTGGAACACGCGCGGTGGCAGGGATGTGAGTCGGTTCTCCGACACCTGCAGCCAATCCAAGGACGTCAGGCCGGAGAAAATGGTGTCTGGAAGGGAAGTGATGAAGTTCTTTGCCAGTTCCAGCCGAACGAGACGCGTCGTATTGCTGAACAAAAGCGGTGGCAAGCTGGCGAGAAGCGTGTTCTCGATAGTGAGGTGGCCCAGCATCGACAGGGAGCCGAGGGCGGCAGCGTCGAGGCTCGTGATGGGGTTCTGTTGAAGCTGGAGCACGGTGAGCTGGGTGAGAGGACGGAGGAGGCCTGCAGGGAGGCTGTTGATGTCATTTGCAGCCAGGATCAGCGTCTGAAGGCGTGTGAGGTCGTCAAACGTGCCGTGTGCCAGTTGTGAAATCACGTTCCCGCGCAAACTCAGCTGCCGCAGGGATATCAGCCCGGCCATGTCGGTCTTGCTGACGGCATGGATGCGGTTTGCCTTGAGGTTGAGGATTCTCAGGGATGCCATGGCTGACATGTCGGGGATGGCTGCGAGTGAGCAGTTCATGACGCGGAAGATGCCCAATGCCGCAGCGCGCTGAAACCCGCGCGTATCAGTGTCGTACAGGAGCTCGCTATCGCGCACAATGATTGTGTGGACCTGCGTCAACGGGTTGAGCATGCTCAACTGAAGCATGGGGAACTGGACACCCTCCAAGACCAGCGTCGTACACGAGGTCCAGTTGCCGCTCCCCACCAACCACTGGAGCGATTTCTCTTCAACGTGGCCGCTCACCGTCAACACCTGTACGGAGGATGAGATGGCGTGGAGCGCGCGTGCGGCAGCGGTACTGCTGTCATTCACGCGGTCCCGGCTGAGCAGCGTTACGGTGAGCCTTCCTCTGTTGTCTGCACCCGGGCACGAGCCGTCCGTCACGCTTGCCAATGTGCACTGGCCTGCCTCCACGGTGGGATCATCACTTCGCCGCACGCGCGCGTGCTGATCCGGGTGCTGGAGTTGTGGCGGATGGCTGGCATCGTGCGCTTCGCTGTTGCGAGCACCTTCCACCTGAGTCGGCAGAGACACAGACTGGTTGCGTGCGACAGTTGGTGGCTGCTGGTGTTGGTGGTGTCGCTGTTGCTGTTGCTGTTGCTGTTGCTGTTGCTGTTGCTGGTGGTGGTGGTGCTGGTGCTGTTGATCTTCGTCTTCGCTTTGACCATTCGCGGCATCGCACCCAAAGGTGTTCATCATGCGTTGGATGGAGGACAGATCAATCGTCACTGTGGCTCCTTCTCGTTCACCAGCCTCCTCACGTGTTGTGTTGAGGAAGACAGGGTCACGATTAGTTCGAGGATGCAGCACGTGGTCGTGTGCCTGCTGTGCTGTTGCTGTTCTGAATGGCACCTTGTGTTCATGCAACGTGGTTTGAAGCTGCTTCAGCGTGGTGTCCACCTCCCTGCACAACGCATTGGCCTGTGTATGTGTGTGTGCGTGTGCGTGCACGTGAATGTGTGCACGTGTGAGTGCACATTTGTGTGTCGGGTAAGCAACAGGGTCCGAACATGACATGTGCGCAGTATGAAGGATATTTGGAGGAGAGGACTGGGAAAGGAGTGTGAGCTTGGGAGGAGCCTGCTAGCCTCCTGTTAGTGGTAAGATGAGGACTGCTGGGACTGCTGGACAGGTCACACCTACACACACTCCACACACAGAGCCATGTCACGCACCTCGTTAACCAAGTTGCTTTGGGTGCACACCGCCGGCGCTGTTGTTACCACCACCAGCAACAGCAGAGCCAGCAACGCAGAGAGGGCTGATGTGGTGTGCCCTCGTCGCCGCTGCCAGCAGCGAGGCTGTTGAGGCTGGTGCTTGGGGTGCGCGTCCATCGTTGTTGTGGTTGCGAGCAGTTGCTGCTGCCTGCACGCACATGCGAAAATTCGCGCCACGCACAACATTGCTGCGCGACACCACAAAATCCAGTGGCGCTGCACAAACAAAAACACAAACAAAGCCAGCCAGCAGTGAACAACCACCCACGCCTCAAGCACGCACCCCACACGACGCGATGGAGGAGGCGGCAGCGAAGAAGGCCAAAGCAGCGGAGACGCGGGCGTTTCCCCGCATCAAGGAAGTGCGCGCGTTTGTGGTGAGTTTGTGGTAAGCTCATGATGAGTTCAGGCCTTGTGATTAGTGCCACACGTTGCGTTGCGGCATTTGTGTCTCCTCACAAAAGCACAAACAAACACATGAATGTGCCCGCACACACACACACAACTCGCTCCCTCACACACACACACACACATACACACACACACACACACACTCTCTCTCTCTCTCTCTCTCTCACGCACACACACACACACACACACACACTCTCTCTCTCTCTCAATTTCTCTCTCAAACTCGCAGCAACACAAGGAGAAAGGTGATCAGGGCGCCGACTGCCACGATGTGGACGATGAGCACTGGATCAACGGGTATCCCACCCCAATCGCCCACCCCATGTCCTCTTACCCGCTCTACGCGGCCAAGCGCAAGTCGTGGGGCATCAACGGTACGTGCTTGACATGAAAACGAATCGTGTCGTTGCCGCTACCTCTTCTGCTTCAGTTGTCGGCCACCCGCACACACGACTACATCCTTGATCATGCGCGCGCGCGCGCACACACACACACACACACACACACACACACACACACACACACACACACACACACACACACACACACACACACACACACACACGCAACAGCGCTTGGCTCCGTTGTCGTCGAGGTGGAGTCCGAGGATGGTCAAGTGGGCGTTGGCGTCTCCATTGGCGGGGAGCCCGCGTGCTTCATTGTAGAGCATCACCTTAGCCGCTTCGTCGAGGGCCAGGACCCGCGTGATGTCGAACTCATGTGGGACCAGATGTACAGGTACGTGGCGTGCGTACCAGTGTGTGTACATGTGTATGTGTGTGTGTGTGTGTGCGTTTACTTGTGTTTGCGTGTACTTGTGTTTGCGTGTACTTGTGTATCTGTGTACTTCTGTAAGTCCCTCAGTACGACGTGTGTTCCTCAACCTAGCGTTGCTAACTCGTTGCTTTTCGCAGTGCACCAACCTTGTCACCCATCCCTCATTCACCGCCAAACAACATCATGTACCTGTCGTCAGGGCGACTGTCAACTATGGGCGTAAAGGCCTTCCCCTGCAAGCCATCAGCGCTGTTGATCTTGCCATCTGGGATCTGCTTGGAAAGATCAGAAACGAGCCCGTGTACGCCATGCTCGGTGGAAAGACAAAGGACAGGCTACCAGTGTACATGTGAGTGGTTTACATCGCACACGACCTTATACATGTGGTGTGTGGTGTGGTGTGTGTGTGTGTGTGTGTGTGTTTGTCTGTGTATGTGAATCTGTGCGCGCATGTCTCTGTGTGCCTGTGCGCGCGCGCGTGTCTCTGTGTGCCTGTGTGTGTGTGTCTCTGTGTGTGTGTGTGTGTCTGTGTGTCTGTGTGTGTATACGGCCGCGTGTGTCCGTGTGTCCGTGTCTGTGTATGTGCGGCGCGCGATGCTCATCGATGAGATCGTCGCTCACTGAACATTTCCACATCCCCGTTGCATTTTCACCATCCACCACCTGTTGCATTTCCAAGGACGTGTTCCCGCCCAGACTGTGCAAAAGACCTCGGGTAAATGCGTGCATGTGTGCATACATGTGTGAATGGAAAGATGTGTGACAGCATTCTTGCGACATCATTTTGGGTGTATCAACAACACGAACCATTCACACACACACACACACATACACACATTCACACGTGCACACGTGCTTTCAGGTTTGTGGGCGCGAAGGTTCCGTGTCCGTACGGGCCTGATGCAGGCGATGAAGGCTTGCGCAAGAATGTGGCGTTCTTTCGCAAGTGGCGTGAGACTGTCGGACCGGAATTCCCGCTCATGCTTGACTGCTACATGGCCCTCTCCGTGCCTTATGCAATCAAGGTGGGGGTGGAGAGGCGTGGAAGTGCATTTGTGTCTGCATGCTGATGAGAGAGAGTGTGTGTGCGTATGTGCGTGTGTATGCGTGTGCGTGTGCATGTGAGTGTGCATGTGACTGTGTGTATGCGTGCATGTGCGTGTGCGTGTGCATGTGCGCGTGCATGTGAGTGTGTGTGTGTGTGTGAGTGTGCTTCCCTCTGCATGTGAGGGCCTGCATCTTTGCTGTCAACATCACAACGGCTGCCTCACTTATCCCGACATCCATCACATCACCATCAACCATCACATCACCATCGCAGCTGGCGAAAGAGCTGCAGCCATACGGGCTCAAGTGGATGGAAGAATTCCTGCACCCGGTGAGGCCTTGACTATCATCGTTGTGGTCACGGGGCTGACGGTGATGGCGAGCTGTGTGTCATGTCGGGGTGATGTTGTGCGCTCTCGGACGTTGGGTGATGCTGCTGCTTGTGTTCACTGTATTCTCACGCGCGGGCACACACACATGTGCACATGCACACATGTCCACACTTGCACAAACATGCGCACAACCATTACACACACACACACACACACACACACACACACACACACCACAGGATGACTATGACGGGTACGAGGAGGTGAAGCGTGCGCTGGCGGGAACAGGGATTATGCTCACAACTGCAGAACACGAATACACCAGGTATCGCAGACCGCAATGTGTTTGTGCGCTGCTTCCGGAGATGTGTGTGTGTAGGAGTGTGTGTGTGTGTGTGTGTGTGTGTGTGTGTAGGAGTGTGTGTGTGTGTGTGTGTAATGGCGCCTCACACACCTTGTGCAGCCCACCACGCTTGAAGCTTCAGACACACACACACACACACACACACACACACACACACACACACACACACACACACACACACACACACACACACGCACACACACACAATACATGCGTCTTTACCGTGCCTCGTTGTGCCGCCCCCACTCTCACACTCATGTCCTTGCACCCCATCACCATCACCAAACACCACCTCCCATGGCCGGTCCAACAATCCAAGATACGGGTTCCGCGAGCTGATCAAGCGCAAGGCGGCAGATGTGCTGCAGCCGGACATCACATGGATGGGCGGCATCACGGAGGCGCGACGGGTGGTGGCCATGGCTGCTGCTCACGACATCATCGTTATCCCGCACGGCTCCAGCGTCTACTCGTACCATCTGCAGGTGTCGTGAGCTGTTTGCTGTTGATGGGCTGGGGGTTGGCTGCTTGGGTGGAAGTGTATTGATGTGTGTGTGTGTGTGTGTCAATTGCGGGTCCATGCACTCTTGCTTCAGCACTCACACTGCTCACCCATTTCCAACCATGTATGCACACACGCACACACACACACATGTGCGCGCCTCTTAGTATGCGTTCAAGAACTGTCCACTTGCAGAGTACATCAACCTGAGCCCAAAGTCTGATCGCATCGTTCCGTATTTCGGCGGTCTATTCCCAGATGAACCCCTGCCCAAGGTGACACGCCGTCTTGTGGTGTGTGTTGTGGTGTGCTGTGGTGTTCGGTTGTGTGGTGGTGGTGGTGGTGGTGGTGGTGGTGGTGGTGGTGTGTGTGTGTGTGTGTGTGTGTGTTTGCGCTCATGTTGTGCTGCTTTCCCCTAATCATTTCCATCATCCCCCCTCCTCACCATCACCATCCCTCCTCTCATCATCACTGCAATCACCATGAACAAACAGGACGGGTTCATTGACTTGCCGGACAAGCCCGGCTTTGGCGTTTCGCTCGACCGCTCCCGTCTCCGCCGCCCGTACACACGCACAGGTGACACACGTGCACGGGATGCTTGCACTTGTGTGTGTGTGTGTGTGTGTGCGTGTGTGTGTGCGTGTGTGTGTGTGTGTGCGTGTGTGTGTGCGTGTGCGTGTGCGTGTGCGTGTGTGTGTGCGTGTGCGTGTGCGTGTGCGTTTGCGTGTGCGTGTGCGTGTGCGTGTGCGTGTGTGTGTGTAGAGAAAGGCGTTGATTGATCATGCATCGAGTGAGTGCCTGACACCAGTGACACGCGACTCACGCACGAAATGCCGTCACCATGGCGCATGTCTCAAACGTGCTTTCCATCGTGTCAATCAGGGGATGAAGTTACTACAAACTTCAAGCGAAATGCAGAACGCGCAATGCCAACAGTCGCAAAGCTTCCATTTTAACGCGACACGCATGCGTTCACACACACACACACACACACACACACACACACACACACACACACACACACACACACACACACACACACACACATGGACACGTTCAGATTTTCTTTCCTTTTCTGCTTTTGTTTCGTTGAACTGTTTATGAAGGGCGCACAGGTGTTATGCACAACAGAAGAAATGAAGCAAGAGCAGCCACGAGCAAGAACAGGCCAGCCAGCGTGGTAGCGCAGGCGTGAGTGTGCGGCTGTTGCAACCTTGTTTGTGTGTTGTTGACTGGAATGAACAACAAGGAGAACAAACCCATTGGATTGCATGTGTGCTGTGGAGTTGTGTAACGCAAAAAGGAAGAAACAAAACAGAGACCAAAAGCAACCCGCAACTCAAGTAAACAAGGCCAGACAAAACGGTAACAACGATCATGCATGCAGCACGACATGCGCGTGTGCGCGTGTGCGCGTGTGCGCGCGTGTGTGTGTGCGTGTGTACGTCGCAAACAGTCCATCAGCGTCGCAATGCCATCACAGGACAGCACACGCGTTGATTGCATCATGCAGGTGTAACGTCAGATTGCGTCCATATCGTCCTCGGGCTCGGACATGTGTCCGCCCTGGTCCGCCAGCATCCGCCGCAGCTGCGCCAACTTCCCGCGCTCCCTGGTGATGGTGGTGATGGTGGTGGTAAATACGGCAGTGAATGAGGGTGGTGGTGGTGGTGGTGGTGGTGGTGCAATGAAACTAACAAACGAACGCTGATACTCTTTGCCCAAAGTCGCACATCACATGCACTTCCCCGGCACCGTCACCACCATTGCTATCGGTAACTCACTCGTCAAGCGCCTGCTCAAGACGAAGGGCCTCGACCTGACTGTCCATCACCAGCCGCTTCAGCTGCACTTCATTCAGCTGCGCAGCATCCTGCGACACAACGGGTATGAAGATATGAGTGTGTGCGTGTGTAGGTGTGTGTGTGTAGGTGTGTGTGTGTGTGTAGGTGTGTGTGTGTGTGTGATTGCGTGTGAGAGGTTTGCGGGCAGTGGAGGGGTGTGCACACATCACTTTGAGCATGTGGCGCAGCATTATGCGAACACACACACACACACATGCACACGGCGCGAGTGCTAACCTCGACCATGGCGCGTGCGAGGTTGTACGAGTTAACAGCCCGAAGGGCATCGATGAGCTCATGGGATGCGGTCGTCAGCGTGCGGCTGTTGCGACGCACATCGTGCATCGTCTCTGTTGTTCGCGCTTCCTCTGCAGTTGCGATCACCGTGGTGGTGGTGATGGTGGTGATGGCGATGGTGGTGAGTGAGAATACTGGTGACGGCAGCGGCGAGCGTGATGTTGATTCAAGAGCAACAAGGGGGACGGACTGTAATTTGACAGACCAATGTATTCACACACACACACACACACAAGCACACACACACATACACACACAAGCACACACACATACACATGCAAGCACACACACACGCACACACACACACCGCTTGTCATTGAGGTTTGAATGAGGATAATGAGCTGTGCAGAGGAGGCAGCAAGGTTTCTGCAATGACAAGGCGAGCGAGCGAACGAGTGATGAAGGTGCAAATGCTGGAGTGAATGGACAGCTGGCGCTTTGACGAAGACGCAACAACAAGATGGAGGCGTGCATTAACTCACGCTTAGGCACACACACACACACACACACGCGCGCACACAAATCACACAAATCACACGCGCACACAAATCACACACGCACACACAATGCATTCATTGCACCGCATCACATGACCCACTGCTTCCACCACATCGCCTCCCGACCATATTTCTCTCACCTGACAGAGACTTGCAGCCGTTCAAACTGCGTGCCATCGGTGAGGAATTGTCGCAAGCACTCCAGCCAGACTGGAAGCGTGTCCAACACCGCGCTCACAACGGCCTCAAGTGCCCCAAACCTGTGGAGCAAGCAGTCATGGGCCCGTCAGTCGTGCGAATGTGTATGCATGCGCGCTTGTATGTATGTGTGTGTGTGTTCGTGTACGTGTGTCTAGCAAGAGTGTATGCGTTTACGTTGTTCCATTCCCCACACTCAGTGCCAGAATCATTCAAGACACACACACACACACACACAGGCACACATCGCCAAGCCCCAGTACAGTAAGCAGACAGCACCCACCATCTGTGCGCGCGCAGCGTTGAGATGGTCGTGCCATCTGTCGTCTCGCGAACTTGTTTCTATCGACACGAATCAACAAGCAGCGGCGATGTCGGTGGTGGTGATGGTGGTGGTGATGAATGAACAGGCACATGCATTCATCCCTTCTATCGCAGCATGCACCAACATGTCGTCATCATCGAACAACGTGCTCATCATCACCTTGACTCCACCATCATCACGCGTTTACCTTCAGTGTTGTGATGGTGTTGATGAGAGACTCCACAGACTCAAGCACAAACACCGCAGATTTCACAATCGCCTGAAGAAAATGTGGAAGTGTGGGCAATGGTACACAGCAAAATGCACACATGCACATGTAAGTATGCGGCAACAGTCACACTCATACCCACAAGTGCACACACACAACACACACACACACACACACACATCCACGCACCTACACAACACAGACATCCACGCATTCGCACCTCGTTGCGCGATTGGAGTTGTTCGTTGGACCGTTGCGCAATCGCCTTGAGATCCTCCATGGAGGCAATGGCGTCCTTCACAGCTGCGTGTGCACGACCAACTTCCTCTGTCAAGTGCGCTGGAACTTCCTTCCGCTGGTCGGACGCGCGCTCCAGCCGCTGGTACACGGCATTGAGACGACTGCACACGTCGTCAACGCGTGGTGCGGACACAGCGCCAAAGTTTTCGCTGGCGCCTCGCATGTCACTCAGGCCTGTGTTGATTGCAGTGTTGGTGACGTGATGTGATGTGACAGCGGTGATGTGTGGATATGGTGGTGGTGATGTGATGGAGGTGGGTGAGGGTGAAGAGAAGAAAAGGAGTAACAAGAAGAAGAGCAGGGGAAACAAGAAGAGCACACCATGAGCTGCATTGTCCATCACATCGATACCGAGCACGCACGTCATTGCTGCACGCCACACGGCATTTCATCACAAGGCCACACCCTTACACACACACACACACACACACACACACACACACACACACATTCACGCACAAACACACATTCACGCACACACACACAACACCCCGCAATTTAATGCACACAAACTACAACAACACACGCAATCCAAAACACACAAACACCCAACACCACTTCCACCAGCATGCATGCATTACAATCGCCCGTACGTTCGTGCGCCTCCTTGACAAATGCATCCACCGCTTCGTATGTGTTGCGCACATCTCCCATGCACGCCTCGGCATCTCCCATCGAGAGTTGCGTCAGGGCGCCCTGGCACGCGCGCACGGTGATTGCGTACTGGCGAACAAAGCCGGCAAGCTTCCGCCCCAACTCATCCCGGCTTCGCGGGGTGCCCTATTTGTGTGTGTGTGTGTGTGTGTGTGTGTGTGTGTGTGTGTGTGTGTGTGTGTGTGTGTGTGTGTGTGTGTGTGTGTTGTGTTGATGAAATGAGAATGCGGTGAGCCGGTAGTGAATACGAGGGAGATGTGACAAGGCGTGGTGTGTGTGAGAGAGAGAGAGTGTGTGTAGTGTGCTCATGACACCATTTGCTTCTTGAGGGGATGGTGCGTGACACAGAGTAATGTAACCATCGCTCACGGACAGAGAAACACACATGCGCACGTATACACGCATACACACGCACATACACAAACAGCCGCTGCTCACCAGCTCTTGGGCGAGAAATGTCGTGGCGGTGACGTCGGAAACGGCGGCTGTCAGCACATCTGCCTCCATTGTTGATTGTGTGCTTGCAAGCACGATGTTGACGTCATCGACACACATGCGATCCACGCTCGCCTGGCACGATGACAGCTGTGAAGTCATTCTGTTGGTGGAGGGGGGGACATTTGGAGGGGCGAAGGAGTGAGAGTGAGGGGGCGGGGTGAGAATGTGTGTGTGTGTGTGTGTGTGTGTGTGTGTGTGTGTGTGTGTGTGTGTGTGTGTGTGTGTGTGTGTGTGTGTGTGCAAGTGCATGGTGATTGAGCAATGAGAGACGGTGGTACACGATGACAGGTGCACACGTACAGTGCGAGCTGATCCTGTGCATCCTGCGCCGAGACTTCGCTCTTCTCGGAAGTCGCCTGAAGACGGCGCGTGTGTCAGGGACAGGTGGTGATTGATGAATATGGTGGTAGACAGACGGGTGAGTTGCAACATGGATTGAGATGCAGTGTGC